TATAAAATTGAATAGATATGCGATTGCTTCTGGTGCATTGAAAGATGGTTAATATACTATAATCACAAGCTCTTAAGATTTGTAGGATGTAGAAACTAATGTTGCATCTTCTAGATTGAATGTTAAGAGAAAATTTGTTATTCCTGACTCATTGTATTTTTGGTGTCTATTTTTGGGTTATAATCAATCAAAATGAGATTTAAAGATTGGTTAAAGAAGGTTTATTACCTAGTAAGGCAGAGGAGCCTAAACCAAACTTGTGAATCTTGTTTTGAAGGATAGATAACTCTAAGGGCTTAATCAGCCAAATGAAATAGACATAAAGAACAATTGGAGTCGGTACACACGTACACGTGTAGTCTTATGAACATCCAATCAAGATTACTCACGTTTTGGATAAATTTACCTGTTGCGACACAAGTCTTATACTTTTGGTATATTTCGAGAGGGTCAAGACTGATGTGGAGCACAGATTAGGTAAACTTATCAAGACACTTCGATCTGATCGAGTATTTGAGTATTTCTTGGGATAGTGCAAAGACTATATGGTCAATAAGGGTGTTGTGTACCAGTTTTCCGCAATTGACGCTAAATTAATTTAGGTGTCAAATAGGAATAACAGAATTCCACTTAACATGGTTAGATCTATGATCAGTAATGCCACATTATCTCTTTCATTTAAGAGTTTAGCGTTAATGACATCGATACGCATTATGAACTGCATTCCATCTTAGTCTGTCTCAAGGATACCGTTGAGCTGTGTTTTTGACTAAATATTAGTTTGAATCATATGCACATATGGGGTAGTCTTGCACATGTGCGTTTGATATGGACAAGTAAGTTGGAATCAGATCATAGGCATGCTAGATTTGATAGCTACTCTAAATGTCACTAGGATGGATTATTTTATGATCTCAAAGATAAAAGTTGATTGTTTTCACTCACTGTTTATCTATAGGAGAATCATATTATGAATCACATACCTAGTAGCATAATGTTAGAGAATTTGGTATGAGTACCAGATGTACCACATGTGAACACACTTATTATAGAGATTGAGAATGATATATGAATTCCTTATTGATGCGTTAGCATCATCTACTACACAGATTCTTGCATCGGTACATTGATGTAGTGGGAGGATTATCATCCAATTCGACAGAATCATGTTTTTAGGTGAGACCATTATGGACATCCCTGTTAAACATGAGTTGGACCCAGTAAGCTACACGGAAGCGTAAACCGATGTGGATACAGATCGTTTTGGTGAGTTACTATGAAATCAGAGTTGGAATCTATGTATTCTAATAAATTCTAGGATCTTGTAGAACTTTCTAGTAGGGTGATTCCTATGGAAGGCAAGTTAATCTACAAAAAGATACCAGAAGATTTCTTAGTGAATAAATCATGAGTGTACAAGGGAATGTCATTATTTTTCTAATTCTATATATGTTGATGACATCCTACTCATTTAGAATGATGTGGAAGTTTTGTCATCAATAAAGAGGTAGTTGTTCAATTACTTTTAAATGAAGGATTTTCAGGATGTAAGCTAGATTTCTAGGATCAAGCTTTTGCAAGATCAGGGTAAAAGGAAAATAGGCTTATCTTAATAATCCTACATTGATAAAGTTTTGACCGGGTTTGGTATGCATAACTCAAAGAATGAGTTCTTGCTTTATTGATATGGTTGGCTCTCTCTAGTAAGTAGTTTTTCAAGACTATCAAAGGAGATTGAGCAAATGAGACTGGAACAATATGTTTCGGCATATGAGAGTCTCATATATGCCATGGTCTATACCAAACAGGACATCCGCTACATAGTAGGGATAGTCAGTAGAGATCAGTCCAATACTGGACTTGACAACTGGTTTATTGTAAAAAATATCATTAAGTACCTAAGGAGAACCAATGATATCATATTCATTTATGGATGTGATGATATGGTCCTAGTCAGGTATGCTAGTTTTGATTTTCAATCAGAAGTAGATACTATGAGGTTCATGACTTAGTGTATGTTCACTTAATGGAAGGGAGATCAGTTGGTAGATTGTTAAGCAGATTTCAACTGCTGACTCAAACCTGTAAGTGGAATATATTGCAGCCTTAAAGGTGGCAATATAAGCCTATTGGTTTGATCTCACTGATTTAGAGGTTGTGGAGCATACTAGCCAGCCTATCGAGCTATATTGCGACAATAGTGCAGAAGTAGTCCAAACCAATGACCCAAGGTTCCATAGAGGAACAAGATACACTGAGAGGAAGTATCATGTTCTACATGATATTGTCCGGTAAGAAAATGCACTTGTAGTTAGAACATTGCATTGGAACACAACTTTATTGATCCATTATCAAAGGTGTCATTGATCAATAATTTTGATCATCATCTGGATAATATTGGAGTTAGGTGCAATTTGAATTGGCTATGAGGGCAAGTGGGAGCTGTTGGGATTTATATGCCCTGGCATAGCAAATTCCTATCTGGATTATAGTGACATATGTTCCTGACATATCTGAAATATTTATAATTTATATAATTGGTGAATTCAATGTATTATGTTTCGATTCACTATGAAATTGATAATGTCCATGTAATTACAAGAAATATTTATATATATGTATGTGATGGCAATCAATGCATGATATATAAATAGTAATTATAAATTGTTCATAGTCGGTAATTATGGATGGACTCATAATTAATTAAGACTTGAACTGGATCCGCGTTAGGTTGAGATATATTGCGAGAGTCGTCGTATGCAATTACTCCCTATCACCGTCATGGCATTTGACTCTTAAGCATGAGAAAAGTATAGACTCTTTTATTAATTAATAATTACTTTGATTTGTTCGGCGGATTCTTCGGCATCCTTAGACCGACACTTTGGGTAGTTATGTAATTAATAGTTAGAGGGTTATATTTTCAATATTTGCATCATTGCTACTTGTATTTATTTTGTATTGATTATGGTTGATCACAAAGTAAATTCGAAGGCCTTCGTATGTTTTTAGACAAAATGATTTATTATATATTTATTTATTTAAATTATTATTTTTGTCAAACAAATGTTTTATTGTGATCGAGTCAGAAATAATCAGAGGTACCAAAATAGATATATTAATTAAGTAGTCGGATTGATGGCTTTATTTATCCGATAACTAATTATGCATAGAGGGGTCAAAGTGCAACATTGACTTAGAGGTTATTTATTATTTAATTGGAGTTCAATTAATTTCTTTTAGTGGAGTAGAAATTAATTTATGAATTAATTTAATTGGGTCCATGGACCGGGCCAATCATTAATTCATTGTAGCCAATAAAATAATAGGCCCAATGGATTCTCACTCATAGCCCAACTTGATATTGGAATCATATTAGATTTGAGACATGTGAATTAGAGATTGAGAAGAATTATTTGTTTCCTTTTCTTTATTTTTATGTTGCCTATAAATATACATGGTCTATGTATATTTTAGTGGGTGATTTTTATAAGAAGGAAAAAGGAATAAATTTTCTCTCTCTAGAAAATTAGGGTTTATGGTCTCATCTAATAGAGGCTCCCACAAGCCTAGTTTTCCAAGGTAATTCATGGAGGCTTATGAGTGATTCCTAAAGGCAAAATAATTACCAAGAAGATGGAGATCTAAGGAGAAGACATCTTGCTAAGGGATTTACAATAAGTGAGAACATTCACTTTAGAGGAAAGTTTTAAAAGTTTACTCAGACCTTTGATGTAAGTATTCAATCCATTAATTGAATGATACATCATATTTTTATTTTTGCATAAAACTTGTCTCTATGTAATGAATCAAGATCTATGAATTTAAATCCCTCAAAAAGTTTTTAAAACTAGCACGTTTCCTAATATGTAGAACATTGAATAATTAAAGCTTAGCTTTCTATTGGAATTTACAATTCAGGAGGATAAATCGGTCAAATTCAGACGGCACTCACACCGGACTCATACAATTCTTGCAATATTATTTTTTCCCTTACACAACAAAAAAATGTAGTGAATTTAAGTATTTAAAAAAAAAAATAAAAAAAAATAATAATAATCAATCACCATATAATATATATAACTTCTCATAGACATCACCACCCACACTAATTAATTTGCTGTAAAATGAAAACGATTTGATTTGTTATAGTTGTATAATATAAATTAGTGAAGGAAAGATAGGCTGGGATTAAGCCTGGGAAGGAACAGTGGTGGTGAAGAGAGTATTTTGAGGCTTATCATCATGGATTTAATTTGAAAAGAAAAAGCTTGAAGAATGTAAATATGGGGGTGGGTAACTAAGAGTAATTAATGAGAACAATTATGTCATTTTAGATTGTTGATGTTTTAGAATAAAAACTGTAACAGTATTAAAGAATTAAGGGTAAAATTGTCTTTTCATATATTTTTCAAGATGTTAGTGAAAGAAAAATAAAATTGAACATAAGTGGTAGTAATTTGGAAACATGTTTCAATATTTTATTTGACCAAATTTAAAGAAGTGTCGATAAAATTAACCCAAATAAAAACAACTTTCTTCTTTATTTATTAATTTTCATCTTGCCACCACCTGCTAAATGTATATATATATATAAAATGCAATATGTATACAAATTAAAAAAACATCTTGATCAATAGATCAAACATATTATTGGACTTGTGCATTGATGTTGATTTCGATTGCCACAAAAATTTCCATCGTAAAAGACAAAAAAAAAAATTTAAAAAAAAAAAAAAAGTTATAGCACTGATAAATAATGATGATTAATGAAAAAACCATGCAACCTTGTATGATATATATCCACGGTACCACATTTGGATGCTAACTGGTTTTCTGCTAAAATGGAAGCACTTCACCTAATATTATCCTCCCACTCTCTCTATAAAGCCTCTCAATCTCTCCAACACAACACACCATTCAAGACCACTCCTCCATTTAATTAGATCATCTCTCTATATCTATTTCTTATAAGCAACCCCACACCAATAACCAAGAAAATGATGAACCGAATTCTGTCCTTTCTATCACTTACACTACAATTACACTCCAATTTCAGCACAAACCTAGCTCAGTCCCCCGCAGCATCCCCGACAGCTCTCCCAGTACCATCTGCACCGCCCCCATTTTCGATTGCAACATCCCCGGCACCGTCCCCAGTACCGAATGGTCCGCCCAACATCACCCAAATCCTCGAAAATGCAGGTAACTTTACGACCTTTATCGGCCTTCTGAAAAGTACCCATGTGGATGATCAGATCAATTCCCAGCTCAAGGACTCGAGCAATGGCCTAACCGTATTTGCACCGTCCGATGACGCGTTTTCGAACCTCGACCCCGGCACTATCAAATCTCTCAGTGATCTACAGCAGGCCGAGCTCGTGCGATTTCATTTCGTACCTACCTATCTCTCCACAACACAGTTCCAAAATGTGACCACCTCTGGCAACCAAGTGAACGTGTCTACGGCTGTTATGAACTCTAATGTATCTACCCCAATCTATACGGACAACCAGATTGCTGTGTATCAGGTGGACTATGTGCTTCCTCCTTGGAACATTTTCGCTTCTCCGGCACCTGCACCGGAACTGGTACCAGCACCAGCACCGCTAAAACTGAGGAAGAAGAAGAATATGACACTGACACTGACACCGGCACCGGAACCGGCACCAATCTCCAGTGACGGTGCAGTTAGTCTCACCATGCATGGAATGGTGACAGTTGGAGTTGCTGTGGTTGCAGCATCATTTCTTGTGTGACAATAGACAGTGATGATTGTGCCAGCTGGACATACTGGACTGAGATCTGGGGTCCTTTTGTTTTGCTGAGTTGGATTGAACGGTAGTGATCGACGCCGTGAGTTTCTCGGAATAATTGTAATGGATCGACGCCGTTAGTTTCTCGGAATAATTGTAATACAGAGTATGTCTAATCTAAAGATTAAAGAATAATGATAGGTAAAGATTAAAGAATAATGATGGGATAATTGATGAATTAATCTCGAATAAGTATTGAATATGACATGTTTTTGTCCACTTCATTTATTTAAATAGTTTTTAAAAATAATTGTTTAATACGTGATCATCAGAATGACCAATCACATCAAATTCAATGCTAATTTGGTGATTCTTTTTCGATTCTCCGTTAAACTATAAGGTCATTTTTGTTTGAATAATTATACAACGGAATCTTTATTACCGAAAAGGCACCGAATTTGATGTGGCTTAGTTCACATCAGACTCCTTAAAACAGCTTGACCTTGCGTAAGTTTCTCTCTCCATCTAATACTTAACCATTAAATTCTAATCCAATAATTAATAACCGGAAAATAATAATAACAACCATGCATATACGCAATTGCCCACCATGACGACAGATCTAACATTTAATTTTGCAACTCGCCGGAAAAACAGAGTTACTCATCAAACCCAACAAAGAAATCCCAATTCTTCTTCTCTCTTCTCTCTCCTATTCGGACTCACTTTTCAATTTTGCATATGTGTTACTATACATATGCCTAATCTCTAAACTTCATTTAGGGCTTTGTGAAGGAAAGCGAATCTATTGGTACATGTCATGGAATCTGTTGACTCGGGTCTTTTTTGATGAGTAACTCAAACAATGGAAAATGAATGTGTCATGGAGAAAGGTTTTTTTGTCCAGAGAGATGTGAAGCAAAGGGATGATGACAGTGGGTAGGACAGTGAACAGAGATGGAGAAGAGATTCCACCCAGAGATTACATAGAGATGGAAAAGAGATTTCACGCAGGTTGGATAAATTTTAGACAGAACAAATAGAAGGCTTTGAAATGTAGATAAGATGAGTTTTTGAGGGTAAAGTAGACCTTTTTCAATCGTTAAACTATTGTTTTCCAATCCATCATGTTTAAGGGATTGATGATTTCTCCACGTCAAATCCGGTTCTTATTCAACGGATTAATTTCGGTAGTTATATCATTACTCATCGGACTATACCATTAGAATTTGTAAAATTTAAAAGAAAGATTTGGGTTATTTGGCTGGAAATGATCCGTAAAAGTTTTATTTACCTCACCTGAAATTTGGTAGGGTTTTTTCTGCCCCACCTGAAATTTGGTAGACTTCAGCCTAATTTAAAATGTGATCGATTTAGCCAAAAATATTATTAATTATTATTACTATTATTAAAATGACAAAACTAATATTTTCTTGTAATGAAATGACAAAATAAACCTTGTTCACTTTTTTAATTATCAGTTGATCCTTAATACTTTGGACCAACTTATCCTCATTTCCTAATACTTAAATCCTCTCCCTACCATTAGACACTCTAAAATAGTTGGAGCAAAAGTAAGTTTTTTTTTTTTTTTAGTCTATCTCTACAGTTCTCTGTAGCTCTCCCTCTCGTGTGTATATGTCTCTGTATAAATGCACAATGATCCCTTGCTCACAATGAATATAAAAGAAATTTTTTACTACAATGACCGTAAAATGTAATTTAAGTATATATCCAACAATCATTGTACTTTATGCAGATAAAATTTATACTTACATGTGTCGTGTGCGAAAAGATAATTTCGACCAAAAGTAATAATAACAAATATTATTATTATTATTATTATGACTTAATTGAGATCACAAAAGAAAAAAAGTGAATATGTTGGTTGAGAACTAAAATAAACGAAGTGAATATGTTGGTTGAGAACTATAGATTGAGAGCCGAAATAAGGTATTGTCCTTTTTTCGGGCCTCGAAATCATCAATTTTGTCTACAGATGAAACAATTTTTTTTGCCTAAAAACGAAAAAGAGATGGTTGTGGTAAGGAAGAAGAAGGATGAATGTAACCAAGGACAAAGCCAGTTTGGGCTTAGAGGGACGAGGCGTTATTATATATTTTCTCTTGTTCAAAAAAGATATTCTGTTTAGAAAATTGTGAGTCACGGTTCCTCACTTTTTTGAAACAAATGAAGTATAAATTCTTGACAAATGATCGACTCTAACACTATTTACAAATTAAATTAGAAATTAAATAGAGATAATGAAAAGCGTAAAGGTGAATGATTAAATTTTCTCCGATTCTAAATTCCAGACTTTTAAACACAACGTGAATGCCATTTACTTATATTGTATTTGTACACTGCAAAGCAAACAGGAGCAGATTCATGTGAATCCAACTCCAATTCCACATTTTAGTATTAAGATTAAGATTCCTATCTACCTATATTTGGATGGAATGCTTATCATATGCATATGGACCAAAATAATCAATACAAATATTATAATAAAGTAAAATATTTATGTTTGATTTGGATCGGATATCAATTTAAATTCAATCTATTTTGTGTTAATTTCGAGTCCAACATAAACCTATTGTGGATTTTTTCAAAGAATATTCATATTTTGCCTATTTTATACATATATTTCGGATCCAAAATCTAGAACCAGATTCATTCAAATAGATTTTGGATTGAATTACATTTATAGTCATGCGTGTTCTATTTCTTGCCCTAATAGAACTAGCTAGAAGTCCACATGCAACCGTGACATATCATAAAAATGCATGTCACCACCAAAACTAAATAGAAAAAATATATATATATATACATAACCGCAATTAATCTTGCCACCACTCGTGATTGCTGCTAAATACATAATAAAATGCCATATAGAAATTTAAAAAATACTTGAATAGATCAAACATGTTATTCATGTGAATGATGTCGATTTTGATTGTGACAAAAAATTTCTATCCTAAAAAAAAAAAAAAAAAGTTGTTAGCACTGATACTTAATATATCAAATGAAAAAACCATGCAACCTTGTATGATATATATCCACCATACCACATTAGGATGCTAACTGGTTTTCTGCTAATACGGATGCACTTCACCTAATATTATCCTCCCAAACTCTCCATAAAGCCTCTCAATCTCTCCTCCTATTTCCCATCTCCAACTCGATCAATACATTATTCGATCAAGGCCACTCCTCCATTTAATTAGTTAACCTCTATATTTCTTAGCAACCCTTCAAGGCCACACCAAAAACCAAGAAAATGATGAACCGGATTCTCTTCTTTCTCTCACTTACACTACTATTCCACTTCCATTTCAGCACAACCCTAGCTCAGTCCCCAGCAGCGTCCCCGGCAGTGCTCCCAGTACCGACTGCACCATCCCCGGTGGTAGCAGCGCCCCCAGTACCGACTGCAGTGTCCCCGGTGGTAGCAGCGGCCCCAGCACCTGCAGGTCCGCCCAACATCACCAAAATCCTCGAAAAAGGTGGCCACTTTTCGCTCTTTATCCGGTTACTGAAAAGTACGCATGTGGATGCCCAGATCAATTCCCAGCTCAATAACTCAAACAATGGCCTAACTGTATTTGCACCGTCCGATAATGCGTTTTCCAACCTCAAGCCGGGCACTATCAACTCTCTCGATGATCTAAAGCAGTCGGAGCTGGTGCAGTTTCATTTCGTACCTACCTATATCTCCACATCGCAGTTCCAAACTGTGAGCAATCCATTGAGGACACAAGCCGGAGAAACCCGTCCCGGTGAGTTCCCACTTAACGTGACCATCGCCGGCAACCAATTGAACGTGTCGACTGGTGTTATGAATACTAATGTATCTACCCCATTCTATTCTGACAACCAGATTGCTGTGTATGAGGTGGACAATGTGCTTCTTCCTTGGAAAATTTTTGGTACTCCGGTACCCACAGCGGCACCGGAACCGGCACCAGTACCGTTGCCGCCGCCGGCAAAGGAGAAGGCACCGACCACGGTTAGTACTCCAATTACACAAAACGGTGCAGTTAGTCTCACCATGCATGGAATGGTGGTGACTATTGGAGTTGTTGTGGTTGAATCATTTCTTCTGTAACTATAGACGGTACGTGATGATTTTGCTGATTCAGATCGAACGGTGGTGATCGACGCTGTTAGTGCGTCCGAATAATTGTAATATGTCCCGAGTCTTAACTGTATGACGTCAATAATTGAACTATGAGGTTCATTTTTTTTTCCTGGATTAATTTTTCTTTCATTTACATGAGTTCCCTTGTATTTTTTTGTTCTTTTCCAATGTCATGTAATATGAGATTGTGCACGCGCTTTCAATCATTGAAGTGAACTCCAACACTAAATATTTTATTATTATTATTATTATTATTTGCACTGAGGAGTGGTCTATTAAAGCATCTTCAATGTAAAATGTTATTTCTCCATGATAAAGTATATGGCAATTATGTTCTAATGTTACATTTCATTAAAAATGTGTTTTTTTGACATAACAAATTAATGTCCTTATTTTAATCAACTTTTTGACTTTTAAGGCCATTTTGCACAAAAATCCAAAAAATTGTTCAATATCTCAACTTATAGCAAACCTGCTATATATCATAAAAGTTTTGAGAATCTTAGGGCCTGTTTGGAGGCACATATCTGTTATTGTTTTCATGTTTTGGTTTCATTTTTGGGCCAATATCATGTTTGGAGTGGGCTGATGTGATATTGAACAGTGTAAAAACATTATGAGATTTGGGCCAAAACTCATATCAAAGATTTGGTGATATTGGGTGATATCGGATATTGTAGCAGCCATATCAACCCAAACCAAAACCATATCAACCCTTATTTAACTGTAGTGGTGATATCAAGTATAAAAATTCGCATATCAGAAACCTAACCATTTTTCATCGATTTTCTCTCTCATCGCGCAGCTCCTTTGGAGGCGATTTCATGGGCGATTCTTCTTCCTTTTCCTTACACCTTCGTTGCTAGTCAGATCTATCAATCGTCCCGTATTTGGTTTCAATCTCAACCCTCTCTCGTTACATTATACATATATTACAAAACCTAGCCATTTTCAGCCTTATTTTCTCTCTCTTCGCGCAGGTCCTTGGAGGTTATTTCATGAGCGATTCTTCTTCCTTTTCCTTACAACTTCGTTGCTAGGCTACAGATCGATCAATCCTCCTGTACTTGGTTTTCAGCTCAATCCTCTCTCTGTTATGTATTTGTGTGACCCGAATCTGAAACCCTAGAGTTCTTCGCAACCACAGATCGACGTTTTTTCTCTGCAAATTTCTGTTGGTGATTCATTCTGTGTATCGATTTTGTTAACAAGATCTTTCAGGTGCACTTTCCCTCTTTATCTCTCTATATATATATATATTTATATATACAGTAGCAAAATCCAGATTCTTTAAAATAATAAATAACTATAGTTCCATAATTCCATGTATATAGAAATGGGAGTGCATAATTTCATAACTCAATTTTAATTTTATAGCTAAAAAGTAAAGCCTATTTCAACAACTTATGAAAATTTATAAAGTATCATGCAAACCAATTATTTGGAAATTTAGCCTTCGTTAGAAAAATTAACTGTGTTTCATGAACTTGCAAAACCATTTTTACATTTGTAGATATGCACATGAATAATATACTTACATTTAGGTACATAAATCATTTTTATGTTTCATGGAAATTGAATAGTTCTTCTGTTCTTGATGTTAGCATTTGAAGGTCTTAATTCAGTGTTTCTGGACTTGCCATTGAGCAAACCATAAAAGAGTCCCGCTAAGGGGCAACAGTGAAATAATCAGGTCACCTCGCTATGAACCATGATGTCAAAATTGCATCACAAATATAAAAGTTAATAGTAAACAAAAGGGTCACTGCTCAGTGTTGTCCCCACTAATCGAGGAATGGTAGCACTTTTTACTGGTATCAGCTTTTGGGGTTATCTTTTGGTGGTTTGCCTCCTGAAAAATCTTTGGGATGTATAGCTATGAATTGTTGGTAAAACACTTTTGGTGGTTGAGAAGACAATTTGTGATTCGGAGTCCTATACTTGATTTTTTTTAAAACTGTTTGGTTTAACTGACCCTTGAACTGGGTATTATGGTTCATTGGTTCAACTGGCTAGAAAGAGAGAGAGTTGGGGAATGGTTTTGGAAGTTCATGAAACACAGTTAATTGAATTCTCTTGTGTGTAATTTGAAGGTAGAAAATTTAAGAACAATGTAGGTTTGGATCGTGATTACTGTATTAATTTCTTGAAACTAAAGTGTTAAATTTACTTAATAATAATCAGATGGACATAAACTATGACAATGTTGACCAATGCCCATCAAGCGACATTCATTCTTTTGATGGTGAGAATGGTAAGAACGTTGTAATTATTGAACTGGCCGATGCCGCTGTTTGGTGTGATGCCCATCAAGAGAAATTCATGCTCTTGATGGAGGAAGAGGTTGGAAAAGGAAATCGTACAGGCATGACTTTTAATCCAATTGGGTGGACACATATCGTAGACGCAATGTTGGTGGAAACTAGAAAGAAGTACACGAAGGACCAATGTAGACAAAAATTCAATACAATCATAGCACTGTACAAAGATTGCAAACAAATATTATCCGAGACTGGTGTAGGGTACAACAGTGAAACTGGGATGATTGAGTTAGAAGCTGAAAGATGGGTTTGATTGTGTAAGGTTAGTATTTCAATACGTGTCTATTTACCATACATACAATTAGTAATCTGATTTAGTATTAAAAGGGTTTGATGAATAATAATTGTAAGCTAATAACGTGTAGGTTCTCAAATACGACAAAAAATAAAAAAAACAGGGGTGTAAGAATTATGAACAGATGGTAAGGATTTTTGGGGATACACATTCTACTGGTCAGCATGTTCATCCTTCTACAAAACCACCCAAACCTCACCAAGTGCAAACATCTCAAGTGGCAACACATGAAGCTGCAATTCATAACATTGAGGGCAATGCGGACATGACTGATGTAGAACGACCTACTATAGAAGGACCTATTGACCTCAATCCTACTCTCATTCCTGTAGCTAAGAAACCTAGGAAAGAAAGTTTTGCCTCCACAATGTCTCAAGTGATGGCATGTTTGACTAATATTGGGAACGCGAAAGCTGATAAAATTGCCAAAGCCATAGCTGAATCATCTTCTAGTTGTCAACTATCCCGTGTTAATGAAATGCCTGAAGTAACATCTCCCAGTAAAAAAGAAAAAGAAAAAGAAATGGATCCCCAGCTTGAGGAGTGCCCTGGGATCATCAACACATTAGTGGGGATTGATGATACCCATTATGCTAAGATCAAAAGGATATTTGGTGAGAACAAGGTGTGGAGGGACATATTTCTTCGCTCCAACATAGTAAAATGAGACCTCACCAGAAGCTATCTCTGCAACTTTGTCTATGCACTGCTGATCCGTGAGTTGTGCCTTTAAAACCTTGTAAATGATAGAAGGTGTAACTACCATGCAAGCCATGAAAGCATCCGACAATTCATCAACCTTCTTCAATGCATTCCACTCAGTAGTGAATAGAGCAGAAAGATTACCAACAGGTCGACGACTGAGTGCATCCGCCACCACATTCATTTTCCCTGGATCAGCCTTTGTGATATGTTCGCTATCTTACTTTTATGTGCTTTTGGACGACTGTATTATAACTGCTTTTACATTTCTGTTAGATGACTGTATTTAATTTTCCTTATCTACTGCTTTTATATTACTGTTGGAAGACTGTATTTAATTCTTATATCTACTGTTTTAAATTAATGTTGGATGACTATTTATGTGCTATATCTATCGCTTTTACATTTTTGCTGAATAATTGTATGATTTGGTATGTCTTTTATCATTTTTGTATTAGTGATGAATAACTGTATTATTTGTTATATATTTTTTCATTTTGCTTATATTATGAAGTTGTTTAATTTTTATTATAATAACTGCTTCTGTTTATCCTTAAATAGGACAGTAGATATGGATATAAGGACAATATTAACCATGTATGATGATGATGATGAGGATGAAATTCTTGTATTGATCGCAGCCGTATATGTGATACCCCTCAGATCCGAGATACGGGTTGATCAGGTCCGAGCCCAAACCCGAGGGATATCAAACAATTAAAGTATTTTAAATCGAATACGGAATACAAAATGAATTGAAGAAATAAAATTTAAAGCTGAATGAAAACTAATTTAAAATCCTCAAATACATATAATTATCCAAATCCAATAATCCAAAACTCCATAAGTTTATAACTCGGGAATCCATCCATTGGACCCCTTATTAAAAATTCTTAAACCAAAACTGAAATAAAAGAAATAAAATCCAAAGCTAATATAAAGAAGATTTCTATGTAATCGGAGGAATGAATATCTGTATTTGCTCTGCGCGTCCAAGCTCTAACCCTGGAACTGAAGAAGACCTGAAAAATAAAGGAGTGGGTCAGGCCCACATGCAAGTCTTGATATACTACAATCCAAGCAGTAATCCGATATGCAGATACATCCTAGGAAGACTCAACAATATCTAGAGTAGTCCATATATGTATATAGTACACACTATAGGACGCTCACTAGTCCAGTAGGTCTGTCTCAGCCTGAATAGAAGGCAACATGCAAATACGCACCCTAAGGTGGGCATGAGTACCTAGACCTACCAGGGAACAACACCTATGTCCAATTATCCATCCTAGGCGATATACGCGCCCTAACCATGGTCCTGAGACTCAAGCTCATACCATGGCACATATAATAAATATATAAAGTCCGTACTCCTAATACAAAATATCATCCATCTGTATAGTGGTCTGATATATGTATAACAAATCCATCCTGAAACCATATATGTATAACCATAATTTATTTGATTGACATGACACAAGTAGGTGATGGACTTAACCTTTATGGTTAATCCATACCTTAATCCAAATTAGGTAGGACTTAGTGTTTTGAACTAATTCATTCCCAATATAGGTAAGTCTTAGTGTTTTGAACTAAGCCGTCCCCAATATGCCACCGTCCCATACCGGTGTATATACATACATATAAGTAGGACTTAACTTTTATAGTTAATCCAACTTATTCCAAAATAGGTAGGACTTAGTGTTTTAACTAATTCATCCCTAGCATAGGTAGGTCTTAGTGTTTTGAACTAAGCCGTCCCTAGTATGCCACCGTCCCATACCGGTGCATACAACCCTCCACATAGTATAATTGATTAAACAATATTAAGCAATTCATTAACCATACTCCGAATTATACATCAATACAAATTAATAAATATATATA